TTAAATAAAAAAAAACAACATTTAAATGAAATAAGAATAGTACGAAAAAAAGACGCAAAACAGAAGAAAAATGAAAAAAAAAAACACCAATTTGGTAAATATTTTTGAAACTATATTAGATTGATAAATATTTTTTGAAACTATATATATATATATATATATATATATATATATATATATATATATATATATATATATATATATATATCCGTCTAAGATTATTTGTTATTTTGATTTCTATTTACAAAAGAGAAAGTAATAAGGTGCTTTTTTTTTCTTACCCAAATCCATAATTGTCTTAAAATATTTTATTTTTAATTGACGAAGAATGCATGAGATTGTATGTTTTTTTATATTATGTTAAACATATGTTAAAAAAAGAAAAAGAAAAAAAACTGAAATAAAGAAAAAAAAATTGATATTTAAAAAAAAATGTAAAATACTGAAATTAAAAAAAAAACCTAATATTTAAATAAAATAAAAACAGCAAGAAAAATGAAAATATATAAGAAAAACATTGGTAAATAGTTTTGTAACTATACTAAATTGGTCATAAACTCGATTTTCTTGTAGTGCTTTTAATAAAGTTGCGACGTGCATAATTATCACTCCCATTTGCAAGGTGCTGTCGAAAATGACAATCACTCTTTTTCATGATGTAAAATAAAGTACATTTATCAAAAGTTACTACACTTATAAGTAAAGTTTTGGGGCTTTTAGCAAAGTATGCTTGTTGCATGTGTGAGATTTTGGTTTCCATATATTATATTATTAATGGAGGGAATGCTTATTCTAAATCCTAAACCTTGTTAAAACAGAAACTTATAAACGATTCTATTGATGGTAAAGAAAAAGACATTAATCAGTTTCATCCGGTGTCAAAACAGAAAATGTTTTTTCTGTAGAATCAGTTTCATGATCAGATGATGATGATGATGATGATGTAATAGAGTATTCTGTGAAGCCTGAGTTGTATGATCCAAATCTTGATGATAAAGACCAATTCTGGATTCAAAAGAAAAGAAAAGGTCAATATTCTGATTCAATATGATAATAATGTTTTTAAAACCCAATGCCTCGACTCTCAAAGCTATTTTCATAATTATAACCAGACATCACATAATAAGGGAAAACTACAATAAAGTCCCTAAGTATTGCCCGTATAATCGATTTAGCCCTTATATTTTTTTTTTTTGCAATTTAGTCCTAAATACCTGTAAACGTAATCAAAACGAGATATTTAATAGGTTAGCCGGTATCCCACCTTACGTGTACAAGTGAGTTTTACCCTTCCATTTCCACTGCATTCGACGTCTGGTAAATCGATTGAGAGAAAAAGATAGGGTTTTTACAGAGTGATACACGAAATAAGTAAGGTTTTACTGAGAGAAACGAAGGTAAAACCCAATGGTTGTCGAATCAGAAGAAGTTCGTCATGAGTCATCTGAAGAATACGACTCTGAAGAATACGAAGATGATGACGAGGTGCTCGATACTGAGCACATAGATGTGGAACTGGAAGAAGATGATTTCAAGACACAGGGTAAAGAGAGATGCAAGGATGCTTTCCTTAACTTCAGTTCTGATTATGAAGATAATGAAGCCGATAAGACAATGACTTAGTTGATGAAGATGAAGAAGGGTTTGGTTCAGAAGAGGAAATCGATGACACAGCAGGGGCTAATGATCTTGATTTGGGAGATGCGGTTGGTGCAGGCTTCCCCATTCACGACCCATCAGTTAAGTGGAATAAGATGAAGCCCCTTCTTGGTGAAAGGTATGAATCACCACATCAGTTGCAACAATGTCTCACTAATTATGCTATTAAGTCAGGGTATAACATTAAATTTTGCGAAGTTGACACTGTGAGATTAACTGCCAAATGTGGTTCTAAGATGAAGTCTCAACCCTGCCCATTCAGAGTTCATGCTTCCTGGATGACTCAAGAAAGGTCTTTTCA